CTGGGATTTCACTAACAGTGTTCGACGTTTATTTCTCTCTGGGCATTGCTTAAATGCAGATCCAGTGTAGAGGGTGAGAGCGAGCGGACCCTCGATTGCCTAGGGTGATTTTAACCGTACTGTCTAGTAGCCCGTACTTTTTCGATCTACTGGGGGTTCGGGGTGCACCCATCAGCCCGAAGACCCATCAGCCTGAAAGCTGAGTCGGACTCCCCTCTCTCAGAGGTTCACGCTAAACTGGCGGGTTGGAAGCTCAAGGTTTCGAAGTAGAAAATCGGTACAGGTCATTTGGGCGGAATGCCATTAGGGCGAAATGCCATTTGGGCGAAATGCCATTTCGGCGAAAACCTTTTGGGCGGATTGCAATCCGGGCGGAAGCCATTGGGGCAGAATGAGGAATAGGCGAGGACTCTCTCGGAAATGGAAACCCAAGGTATACTCAAGACGGCGTCGGGCTCCTGATGGGAAACTTAAATGAGAACGCATTCATGGGTTTGCGGAATGCCATTTGGGCGATACAAGCTTCCGTTTATGACTCCATACAGTATGGAGTCATAAACGGAAGCTTGTGATCGGCATATTCATAATCATGACTGTGATTGAGACTCAAGTCATAGTTATAATCACATGAATAGCAAAATCATAGTCACGCCTGTGATTATAATCTTAGTCACATCATAATCACAGATTCTGTGATTATGACTATAATCATACTCGTAATCATACGATCGATAGAAAAACTGCGATTATGGAGTTTTCTGATTACGGTTGAGGATTTCCGAGGCCGCTGATCCCGATGGTGATGTCAGTTTTGCTATAATCGTGTATTGGAGAGCGAGGCGGGGGTTCAACTTTATTGTATTTCGGGGGGCGGCCATCTTGGAATCGACATTTTGATCTGACCGCATTGATGAAGACAGATAACAGCGAGTGGAAAATAATGAAGAGGTCCAAGGATGCGACATCGGTGGAGAGAAATAAATGTCGTTGTCGACTTCCGCGGCTTCATTGCCCTCGCTGCGCCATTTAGCATACCTAGCTGTCAGGTGGTGTGACGCTCTATTTCCAAACGGCGAGTCTAGCGCTCCGTTCCGGTCCGAGACGTTCATATAATGACGCTTCCAGCCAGAGGATTCAAGAATGCTAGTTGGCTTCTATTCTCTGTCCTTGATTGTGACTTGGCTGGCACTCAAAAACCTTGGAGGTAAAAAAATTCTGTTGACGACTCGCGACACTACATCTTTATGAATTTATTCGAACGAAAGCCAAAAACTGAACTTCCGAATCACCCTTTACCTCTGCCTGCCTCATAGAGCGTATCCGGCGGGTGTCGGAAGTGACGCGCTCTACTTAAATGGCGCGCCCAGCGCCAGTTTCCTGTTCGAGCGACGCTACCTCCGCTGCGCATTACCCTAAAGTCCCGCGTATACCGGGCCGGGCCGGCTTTTTCAGAAGTATGTTCGAGAATTGAAAAAGTTGGTCCCTCGTTCGGTGTACGCGGGATTCTAGGGTTATGGGTTATGTATGTGTAAGCGACGTTAGGGTTCATTGTTTGCCCGCACGCTGATTGACTCGCAGTTCTTCGTCGAAAGCTTCACCAAGCCAAGTGAAACTAACTAGGAAACTAGGGTGCGCGGATGAAATTAGGAAACTAGGGTGCGCGGATGAAATTAGGAAACTCGGTGGGCGGATGAAACCAGGAAACTTTGGTGCGCGAGTGAAGCTAGGAAACTTGGGTGCGCGGATGAAACCAGAACACGGCAGATCTTCTCGTTTCATATGCACACCCATGACCTCTGTGATGGATGAGAGGAACGTCGGCCTTAGGCCTTACTACAGAAGCTTCCGGCGACGGAACTGCTTGGAAGTTGGAAGCGGGTCAGCTGACTGCTTGTCATTTGTACCGGAATGACTCTCTCGAAAGTTAGCTCTTATAGTTAAGATATGACTGTGCAGCCGCCGCCGCTGCTGTTCTCTATAAAATCATGCTCAGTGGGAAAATGTCTCGTTCCTCGATCATCATACATCGGGAACAAAGAAGTGCAAGTGGGAGTGAGAGTGCATCATATCATCATGACAGCAAACGCTCTCCGACAACTGAAGTTGAGTGTTCGTCATGCTCTGCGGAGCCCGTATTTCCGTCCATCAAGCACAGATCCTCTTGCCATCGAAGACTAAATTCGACGGACGAGATCTGTCTCGGCTCTTTGCAAGCTATGCTCGGCGACGGCGGGGACTGCGAGAGGAAGCGTCAAATGTTCCATCGATCGGACGTCAAATCTCGAAGCGCATGTCAGGAAACATCACCTCAATCACGGGCGGCGTTCAGCAAATTTCTCGCGGACCAGAGACTGACCTACGTCAACCGGAATCCTCGAAGAGTCGCCGAAACTCGCCTACGCCTTGCTCCAACTGCGTCGCTTCAGAAAAGGTTCGATGCTGTTCATCATGCGCTCGATGATACCGCTCTCAGTCGTCGAACAGGAATCCTTCGCCGATCTCTTGAATGTTCTCGGGTCCAAAGATAAGATGTTGAACTTGATGAGCCAACGTTCGCTGGGCCGCCGCATCGAAGTAGCTCATTAAAACTATCGGAGTCAGCTGAAGGCTCACGTATCCACCGCCAGTTTTGTCTCCACTACAGCTGACATTTGGTCGGCGGGAAAAAGGAGCTTTTTAGGGATGCCGGTGCATTGGATAGACGACGACTTCAAACGCCAAGTGGCTCCACTTGCCTGTCGGCGTTTTCCGAGCCCTCACACATTCGACAAAATCGCGAGCATGGTCAGCACGATTCATACGTCCTACGACCTATCACCGCCAAAAATCACGGCTTGTGTGTCCGACAACGGATCGAATTTTGTGAAAGCCTTTCTCGAATTCGGCGTTGATGCGACAAATGTTGAGTGGGAGGCCGATCAGCGGCGTAATCATACCCGTGATCATAGTTTCTAGCTCAACAGTGTGTCACGGATCGACCCCTCAAAACTACTATGAATTGAAGCGGCGCCTGAAGCGCCACCTGTTTCTATAAAAGCCAGGGCTAGTTCACAATAAATCATCGATGCTTAGAGCCAACCTTCGTTGTCACGCCACATTTTGGTGGCAGCGGTATGGGAAGCGACGGAGCCACCAGGGAGAACGTGCTGAGCACGGAAAACCTCGCTGCATTGTTGGAGCTTCTGATGCCCGTAAGCACCTTGCCAGCATTCGATCCCGTCAGACCAACGAAATGGTTAAGACGGCTGGAAATGGACGCGAGCGTACTCGGATGGTCAGATCAACAGGTCCTCAAAGTGGCGTATTGTACAATGGATGAAGATTCCAAGATCTGGTTTGTAGCTGACATAGGCACTCGATCTACGTGGACGTGTTTCAAGGAGAAGTTCTTAGCGCGTTTCCCGGAAGGGAGTAGGAGGTTCCCGGCTGAATACTACAGTTACGGACGGCGCCCAAACGAGTCCTTCACGTCCTTCATCAGAAAGAAACAGTCTCTGCTGATTGAAGTAGGAATCCCGTTCGTAATCGAGGACTTCGTCATTGAGATCAGAGAATCCTGTAATTCGTGTGCATTCTCGAATTTCCTGGTTTCCGCAAATCCGGAATGTTTCAAGTCATTGATGAGAATGGCTGACAGTTACTCTCCTCCGGATGACCGGGAGCCGTCGCCGGACACTGCCAGGGAAAGCGTTGATCCTAAGCTTGGAATTCGCTTATTCGTCAAAGGACCAGAATTTTCAGATGCTACACGCTCATTCCAATCACGACTTCGAGAGGAACAGAGCAAGAATCTCGATTACCTCCGAAAACTGAAGATTCTCCAGAATGGCATACCGCTGGGGAAGTACGCCATCCGAGAAAATCCGCTTCATCGGGAAGGTCGTGTGTGTGTTCCCGGTTCCTTGAGCGAGGAGGTTATCATGTGGTGCCATGATAATGGAGGCACGGTACACCCCGGAATCCGGGGCACGGAGCGTCGTGTACAGGCAACATTCGACCTCGGTAGACGACTTCGTCGTCGTGTGAGGCAGCATGTTAAAAATTGTGAAGTTTGTCATCTCCGACGGATGCCAGTCCGAAGTAGCGTGCCTTCGGAGTCATCTTTGCTCGTAATTGCGCGGGGTCGCCGCTTAGGTAATCAAACATGTCAAGACGGTCGCTGGAGGTCTTCGATCGCTCAGAAAGCATCTGGAAATGACAAGAGCG